GGTTCGCCGTGAGGAAAATCTCGGTTGTTGGTGGCGCGCGGTGCTAGACTCTCGATCCCTCTCCGCAAGGATGAGGACTCGCGGTGGTAGGTGTGCTTGTATATCCAGAATATCCGTTGAAGTATAGGTAGAGAAGTGTAGAGCGCGAGGAGTAGAGGAAGGTAGAGGATTGGCGGAGATGCAGCTTAGGATTCCACGCATAGTCAAGGGGTTTCTGGTTGGTTGGTAAGTGGAACTAGCCGGGACTCATAGGCAGCATGTCTCCTACGAGAGCTCGCAGTCCCATTCGAAACTCTGAAACGCGTCTAGGCATTCGTTCGCTTCTTCCTTCACGCAACTTCCCTCGTTAGCTTTGTTATTATCTCTCTCTCTCTTTCTCTCCTCCCTCTTTCGCTTTTGATATTCGATGGAACGATCGACGATGTGGAAAAACTCGAATAACTCCGCGGCCTGAATTACTCGAAACTGCACGGAAGAAGCAGTAGCGGAAGCAGTAGCGGTGGCAGAGGCAGAGGCAGAGGGAGAGGGAGAGAGAATATCGAGTGTTTGACATCGTGAGATTCGGATAGGATCGAAAGGATAGTAGATCGGGGGATCGATTTATCGCGTGTTTTTCGCGAGTGCGCGCACGACCATAGCTGAGCGCGTCTCTAACGGATCACGCAGCGCAGCGAGGAATCGAAACACTCGACGAGGACTAGATCGAGGCTGGACTGGGGGGGTCGGGGTCGAGGTCGAGACCCAGATCGCGATCAAGATCAAAGCCGAGCTCGTGCTTCGAAGAAGAGGGTGAGTCCAGGGACAATTTCTCCCAGAGTTTTTCTCATCTAACGATCGTATCGGGCCAGAGTAACTTTTCTCTTCCTAACCAACAACCATCTAATGGAAATGAAAGTAATCTGTATTGAGGAGTAATATTGATCAATTTGTAATCATTCGATTTAAAAGGTTTAAAGGGCTACTCGATTTTCTTGATCAGTCGGATACGAATAAGTTAATCGACTGATACGTATGTATGTTTCGTTTCGTTTTGTTGTACTTTTAACGCGAGGAAAATCTAAAGTATCGTTAACTTTCGATCGTTTAAACCCAGATAGAATAGAAGCTTCGAAGAGAAAGGGGGCGAGAAGAAAAGCTTAACAGGCCAATTAGCAAACTACGCGTTTGCGTGTTATAGCAGGTGATATATGCGTGCTCGCACGAGTGTCGCGATTGAATAACAGAAAAAGGCCTTTTTGGTAAGCTCATCGTATGAACGATAGTACCGTACGATTAAGCGTGTTTCTCTTTTGA